CCCCATTTTCCTTGTTAGTTTGGTCTGTTCATTAGATTCCACATATGAGTCAGATCACACGGTACTTGTCTTTCTCTGACTGGCTTATTTCACTTACCATAATGTTCTCCAGGTCCACCCATGTTGTCGCAGAGGGTAAAATTTTCTTCTTTTTTATAGCCAGGTAGGATTCCATCGTGTAACTGTCCCGTCATTGTTTGATCCGCCTATCTACCTGGGCTGCTTCCACCTCTTGGCGATTGTAAATGACGCTGCAGTGAACATAGCGGTGCTTATGTTCTTTCAGATCAGTGTTTTGGGTCCCTTTCCAATGTCTTGCTCTTTCCCTTCTCCTTCCAGCGCCCCTGTGACGTGAGTGTTGGCTTGGAGTTGTTCCAGAGGCTCCTGACACTGTCCTTGCTTTTTTGGATTCTTTTTTCTTCTTGCTCTTCTGTTGGTTGTTTTTGCTTCCTTATGTTCCAAACCATTGATTTGATTCTTGGCTTCATCTGACACTCTCCTGTTTTCCCCTGTAAGTTGTTCTTTATTTCAATTAATGTATCTTTCATTCCTAACTGGATCTGTTTTATGCTGCTGAGGTCCTCCCTGAGCTCCCTGAGCATCCGTATAACCAGTGTGTTGAACTCTGCATCTGATAGATTGCTTGTCTCCATTTCATTTGGCTCTTTTTGGAGTTTTGATCTGTTCTTTCATTTTAGCCATGTTTCTTTGTCTTATCGTTTTGGCAGCCTCCCTGTGTTTGTTTCTATGTATTAGGTAGAGCTGCTTTGACTCCCTGGCTTGGTTGTGTGGCCTAAGGTAGTAGGTGTCCTGTAGGGTCCATGGCACCCCTATAACCCTAGCTGGGTACTTGAGGTGCACCCTTTGTATGGGCTGAGTACACCTTCCTCTTGTAGTTGAGCCTTGATTGCTGTTGGCAGGTCATTGGGAGGGATTTGCCCAGGCCAGTCAGCTGCAAGCATTGGCTGTGACCACTTATCACCAACCTCTGTCTTCCATGGAGGATCATTCTTGAAGGCTCCAGTGTAGTCTGTAGCTGTCCACGGGGTGTACTGGCTCTAGAGTTTCCCAGGTGGTTCAGGCCAAGGTCAGCCCCCACCCGTATTCTGCTCAGGGCCACCCTGCCTGAGCTATAAAGCAGTCTGAGATGGCTGCTATTTGTGCTGGGCTCGGGAGATTTCCAGGAGAAACCAAGCTGTGAATCTAGGCTGGCTGCTGCTGGCGCTGAGCCTGGGGACACTTGCAAGAGGTACCTCATGGGGGTTGGGGAGCTGGAAGCTCACTGTGGTGCGCTCTTCCTTGTTTGCTAGGATTTAGGAAGTTGTGGAGCATGAGCCCAGCCCAGCCATTCAGATGGAAAAGTCCCTGTTAACAGTTTGGGTGATTTGTGGTTCCTCTCAGTAGGACGGAATCTCAGGGGGTCTCTGGGGGTCTCCGGGGCAGGGCAAACAGTGTTAGCCAGGTTGGTGGAGTCTCAGGTTTGGCACCTGACTTCCATTCAGGGCAGTTTCTGATGGTTTTGAGTGATGGTGGTTCTGTATTTTAGTTGTAATTTTGATGCTATTGTGCAAGGAGGTGAGCCGTGTTTGCCCACGCTGTCATCCCGACTAGGAGTCCAAAGCAGGTTTTCAGAGCCTCTCTTTGGAAAACAGTATTTAGTAAAATTGGAGATAAGCATATCCCACGAGCTGGCAGTTACATTCACAAGGTTAGGGCAGATGTATGTGTGCAGAAATGCCACTGGTAACATGGTGTGCAGCAGCCCCAAACCAGAAACAGTAACAGTAGAATGGATGCCAATAGTGTGGGATATTGATACTATTAACCAAGGTGAATGAACAGCTGACCACTACATGCAATAATGTTGCTAGACACAATACTACAGTGTGGTTGCATTTCTGCAAAGTCCAAGAGAGGCAGGCGTGAACTATAGTGTTGAGGGATGTATGTGTAAAAATTTTTTAATTAAAAATATAAAAAGTTCTGCTTACGAAAAACTATGTTGTTAAATTCTTTCAAACTAGGAAGGTGTCTCCCTCCAAGGGAGAGAACTGGATCAGGGAGGGACACGGGAAGGCTCTGGATCGCCAACGATGTTTTCTTCCTGACCTCAGTGCTGGTCACGCAGGCGTGTGCTTTATCATTGTTCACCTCTGCTGTGTGTGTCAGCCCTTTTTTGTGTGTGTGTGTGTGGTTTGCACATATGGCCACGTACCAGCCTCTGGGACTGTGAACAGGTGCATTCTTTGTCCACAGCCACTGTGTGCCAGGAAGGGGCCTGCATCTCGTTACTTAATCCTCTCTCCCCATTTGACCAATGAAACCGAGGCTTAGAGAAGTCGAGTTGCTTGCTCTGGTCTCCCAAGTCCTCAGCAGCAGTCCTGGGATTCTAACTGGATCTGCCCGCCACAGAGCCCTTGCTCTGTCTCCTCCTCTGGGCTCCCCTGTACTCCCTTCCCCCACCGATCCGTGAGGCCCTGCGGTCATCCATCTTTCTGCTTCAGAAGAAACCCCTCAGCCATGCACCCGTGGCAGAGTTCCCCTTACAAAAATGGGGTGATGTCCAGGTTTTCCCCACTGCTCCTCCTTCACTAGGTCAGCAGGCTGTCCTTGCCTGGACAAGGGCCACCTCCGCCATCCCTCCCTGTTGGGATTTACAAGCGTTTAAATTGTACGTGAATCCTTTTTCTCCTATTCTACACATGTGGTAGTATGCTATATCAATATTCTTTCTTTTTTTTAAAGATTGTGTCTATTTTACAGAGAAGGGAGGGAGAGAGGGAGAGAGACATCAGTGTGTAGTTGCATCTTGCATGCCCCCTACTGGGGACCTGGCCCACAACCCAGGCATGTGCCCTGACTGGGAATCAAACTGGCACCCCTTTGGTTTGCAGTCCGCCGCTCAATCCACTAAGATACTCTGGCCAGGGTGCTATATCAGTATTCTGCTCTTTTTTTTTTTTTTTAACTCAGCAACATATCTTGACACACCTGCAGTATCCGTCCATAAGGAGCTGCCTCGTGCTGCACGTGGCATGAAGTGGCGTGGTCGTCCGTGGCCGGGAGGGGCCGGGGGTCAGCCGGTTCCCGTTCTGCTCTCCCAAGCAGTGTCTCAGTGGATGACCCTGTTTTTGTGTCATTTCTCACTTGTGGGACTGGATCTGGAGGATGAGTTTCTAGAAGTGAAATTCATCAGCTGAGGTTGAAACTGTACTACAAGGTGTTTAAGGAAGTGCCCCCGCGTTCCTGCCTCCCCCACCGTCCTCCCCTCACAGACAACCAGGGAATGTGAGAACGTGTACCCCCGCCCTCCTTCTGCATCGGGGTAGCTTTCCTGGGGCACCGTTCTGTCCCTCAGACTTGAAATTCCAGCAGGAACCATTCTCACGAAGCTAAAGTGAAACCCAAGAGCACCGAGTCCCAGACGAACATGCTGACTTGGGACGGGTGTCGGGCAGCCTGGTGCCCCTGGGTGGCTGCATCCTCAGACGTGGTGACGTCTTGGGCCCTTCCCTCCAAGGGCCGACCCAGCTCCAGGCGCCAGGTGCCTGGCCAAGCCTTTGTCAGCATGATCTCATCTAATCCCTGGGACAACCCGGAGGCCCCCCTGTCCCTACCTGCAGCAGTGCCCTACCTGCTGTGTGACCCAAGGTCACCTGCCTGATCTCTCTGAGCCTCCAGCTTTCTCGTCCCAGGCTGCTCTTGGGGGTTCCTCTTTTGCCTTGGGGGGGGGGGGGGTTCTGTGGTTCCCTGCATCTAGAAGCACCCTTCTTTTGCCTCTTGTTCTCTGGCCTGTCTGGTTTGTCCAGGGCATGTTGACCAGCCAGTCAGGACTTCCTCTCCTCTTTAAATTGTAGCAGGGTTAACACAAGGTGCCAGTGCCATGATGGCAGGAAGCTCCATTCACCCAGAGGAAGTCAGCTTCCTGCCCGAGTAGCCGTGCGAGGCCCTGCACCAGGACAGGGCGGCGCTGTCTGCCCGGCAGAGGGGTTACTAAATCCAGGGGCAGTGCTCGTGGGCCTGATGCAAGAGGCGGGGGTCTGGCCATACTGCCTGGGCCATGGCTGCTTGGACCCAGAACCACAGGTCTCTCACTCTGGCCTCCTTTTTTGCCCCCGGCATCCTAGTAACAGTGATGTGAAAATGACCCTGAACCCTCTACCCTCTTGGTAAGTTATACTGCGTCCCTAACGTGGTGTGTGGCCAAGCCGCTGAGTGGGGCCCGTACCGGGTAGGTTTGTTAAGCACAGAAAGGTGTTCACAGTACTTTGTTAAGTGAACACAGTTGACTTAGGAAAAAAGAAAGGGAAGTGCCAGGTTTTTATGAAGGATGTATTTACACATTAAAAAATTACGGAGTGAAAAGCAAATGCTAAATGTCTGGGTGAGGGGATTAGAACGGTTTATATTTTGACTTACGATATTTTTAGCTTTTTAAGAAAATTCTATTTTTTTAAGAGAGAGACATCGATTTGCTGTTCCACTTCATTCATTGGTTACTTCCCATATGTGCCCTGGCTGGGGATCCCACTCGCCACCTCAGTGTTGGAATGATGCTCTTACCAGCTAAGGTACCTGGCCAGCGCTAACATTTTTAGCTTTACTGAAGTAAAATTGACATACAATAAACTGTGCATACTTACAGGGTACACTTTAATAAGTCTTGACCTACATATAACCGTGAAACCATCAACTTACCTATACTTTAAAATTCTTTTAAAGATATGGGTTTTGTTTTTGTGTTTTACTCTTAAAAAGGGGGGTGAGGGAAGTACATCAACCACCAAACTGGCCAGACCAAAAGGGTGCCCACTTCCAGAAGGCTAGGCTGCGACAGGCAGGCAGGCCTTGCTGGAACCCCGTAAGGGCGCGCTGGAGATGAGAAGGACTTTGCATCCCTTGTCCCTGGGGCACCTTGTCCCAGGCCTGGGCCCTTCCCGGACTCTGGGCAGAGGAGGAAGAAGGAGGGGCGGCCCAGGCTTACCCTGCTCTCCCCACAGGAGGCCTCTGCAACCTGTGCTCCGACAAGGCCAACAGGGAGCACATCCTGCAGGCGGGGGGTGTCCCGCTCATCACCAACTGCCTGTCCAGTCCCAGCGAGGAGACTGTGCTGTCCGCCGTCACCACGCTCATGTACCTGAGCTCGCCGGGCTCCGGTGCCCACCCCGACCTGACAGCATTGCCTGTGGTCCAGTGCATGCTGCGCTTCTCTCTCTCGGCCAACACGAGGCTCCGGAACCTGGCGCAGATCTTCCTGGAAGACTTCTGCTCCCCAAGCCTGGTGGCTGAAGCACGCCGCCGGCCGGCCCACTCTGCCCTGGGTATCCCCCTGCCAAGGACTGAGGCCCCACAGCAGTCCTGATGCAAGGAGGCCCTGAGACTGTGGTTCTCTTACTGTCAGAGACGAGCCTGACATACTGGTGGGGCTTAGGAAGCAGGGGCCCGACAGCTCCCAGCAAGCACTGTCTCTCTAAATGGTGCCTTTTCAGCCATTTTAAAGGTGAGTTTTCTCAGCCTGACAGGTGTTTACACTGTGATGAAAGGCATTAGGAGATGAGTTGAGGAAGACAGACATTGAGACACGTGAGAAGGAAACCAAAAGCAGTGCCATTTTCATAGGCGGACACGCTCACCAGGGGGAGGTGAAGGCCCTGCCTCTTGCTCTGCCCCACTGCCAGGCTCTCACCCTTGTGTGGAAGCAGTTGCTCCCTCCATCCAGACGCTTTTGCAGGTGGTTCTCCTGAGAGAAGCTGGGCTGGGGCTTAGGAACACTGCCCAAGCTTGAGGAAGGAGGCACCGTTCTTAACAGGAGTGTCTGGAGCGCTGGGCATCGGGCATGGTGGATGCAGGCCTGGAGAACTCCATGGCCCAGGATTAACCAATCAGGCCGATCTGCCAGGCACTATGGGAGGGCTTCACAGACAAGCAGGTAGTCCCTGCTGTTGAGCAGTACAGCCCAGTGACTGTTATTTAACACGGCATCAGGCATTCAGACCAAGGCCACACAGGTGATGACATCAGGACACAGGCACAGACTCTTGGAGCAGCATCTGCTCCCCCATGCCTGGGGGAGAAGTAAAGGGGAGTCCCTGCCCCTGAAAGTGTGTCTCAGGCTCGAGGGCTTTGGGGATACAAGAGGGGTGCTCAGTAGACAGAGGACCAGGCCCTGACAGTCTGTGGCTCGTAGTCCATGGTGTATGCTGGTCAGCACAGGGGAAGAGGAGAGGGACAGCCATGGAAGGCTGGGGTTCAGGAGTAACGAGGAGCCCTGGTCATTTGCACTCCCTAAGACTGACCACCTACGTGACCAAGGAAAGGCATCCAGGGGGTGTGGAGGTGGCAGGACCTAGGGCCGCTGGAGACAGGAAGGGGAAGCCCTCTTCCACCCACCTCCATTCCAGCTGCAGCCCTTGAGCTCCTGCCCCTTTACTTTCCCAAATAAAGGGTCTGAACAGAGCAGTGAGCCAAGTGTTTTATTCCAAGGTTCCTGGCTGACCTGCCACCGTGCTTCCACGCCAGCCATCTCAGGAGGTGCCAGGTGGCTGGCCTGAGAGGTCACTGTGTCTCCCTGCTCCCCAGTGCTGGGTTCGCTGCCACATGCTGCCCTGTCACTCACTCCGCTCTGCTGGGGCTCCCTGCTGGCCAGCCTTCCCTCTTTCAGCTACTGTCCATGGCCCTGGGCCCTGGTCGCCGTTTGCTGTCTATGATCTCTCTCCAGTTGTCACTCCAGGAGAGCAGCCGTCTCCTCGTGGGGGGCAGGGCCAGGTGCTGGTTGTGGTAACAGGTGAACAAGATGTGCTCCCAGCTTGGGGTTTCCTCTTGGCCTGGGTCATGGAAGAAAGGCAGTGAGCATGTAGTCTGCGATCTGGTTATTTTTGCTCCCTCTCCCTAAACCAGGAAGGCCAGATGCCTAGCTGTTGCCAAGGAAGAGATCCAACCTTGAATGGTGTCCTTGTCATCAATGAGCAGGTCCCCCAAGACCACCGTCTTGTCCCTTGTCATGATAATGCGCTCCACAAACTGGGGCCCCAGGTGCCTCTCCACCCAGTGGTACTGTGGAGGGGGCACAGATCTGTCAGTAGGGCCTGACCCGACCCTGAGTTCAGGGGCCGGTGAGAAAGTAGGTGGGTGGGGTCTGTGGCCCATGACAGACGCAGCTCCCCTCTCCCCCACCCCACACGTCCTGCGTTCCCACTGGTTTATTTTAAGATCATGACTTAGGAAGCTAAGTGTGTCTTGGACATGCTGGGGTGGCCGCACCTTCTCTCCCACACAGTGGTCAAACTTCAACAGAGGGCTGGTGCAGATGAAGACCTCGGTGCTGCAGGGAAGGAGCTAGTTAGACAGGGCGGTGCTCCCCTGCTCCCCGCCCCCTCTCCCCCTTCCTCACTCCTTCAGGGCGTTCATCTGCTGCATGGCTTCCACGGCTCCAGGGATGGGTTCCAAGTCTAGAAAAAAGCCGGGAGCTTCATACACACTGGCGACTTTGTCCTGAAAGAGAGCATTCCCATCCTGGCTTCTGCCTCGGCAAAGCCACCCCAGCTAGGATCTCAGAGATGGGGGGTGGGCTCTTTTTATCCTGGGGTGAACTGGGTATTCTTGAGTTTTGTTCACTTGAAACAGGAAGAGGGTGTCTCGGGAAATGAATCAGAGACCTACTGCCCCAGAGTGGGCCTTCTTACTCCTGTGTCCTGCGGGGTCGGAGCTCCCCTCCCGGAGACAGGGGTTGAGGATCCCTCTCCCGGGATCCTGTTGGGAGGGTCCTCCCAGGGTGCCCCGCCCTGCACCCACCACCTCCGCGCCCTACCGCTAGGTCCGGCCGCAGGGCTCGGTACTGCTCCCGAGCGAAGAAGCCGCGGCGCTCGGCCAGGGGCACGTGCGGCTCCCCGGGGAAGCGGCGGCAGAATGCCCGCAGGAGACCAGCTTCGAAGTCGGCCAGCACACCGTCCATGTCCACCAGCACCCGCACCGGCCGCCCGTGCCGCACCACTGCCGTCGCCATCGCGTGAGCACCAGGACCCGCGAAAGTGAGGAGGAACTAAGGTCCGCAGCGCTGCTTCCGGAAGTGCGATGGGCGTGGCCACTCCCACGGATTTCCCTGGGCCCCGCCCATCCGCCGCGCAGAGGCCTGCTGGCGGGAAGGCTCAGGGGATTGCCTTTCCGGTCTTCAGCTGCCGGAGGCGCCCTGGGATGCTAAATACTGAGAAGCCTCTCCTAACGCGGAGCTGAGGCTGCCTAAACCAGGGTGGCTGGCTCCCCCTTTCCTAGGATCCACGCCGCCAGTCCTTGCTTGCGGGCGCGCGGAGCGCGGCGATACCACGGACCCGGAACCGAGCTCCGGAGAAAGGAAGGCTCGGACCTGCCGATTTGGAACGGGGGGAGCTTCTACTTAAAACACACAACCCCACCTGGCAGACGATTTCTGTCAAGCTCAAGTCATCGGGACTGCCCTTCTCTGTGAAACTGGCGCTCTAGACCCGGCAGTTAGGTCCCCCGGTTTAAACAGTGCTGGATGTTGCTAAATCTTGTTGACTCCCCCTTTTGTAGATGTCAAGCAATTTCCTAAATACGTCCTTGGAGCGTATTTCCCCAGGAGCGCCCGATATGCCAAACCAATGCAGCAGAAGCGTTACAAAGAGGAGCCTGGTGTCTCATTCTACGGGGACCGAATTTAAAAAGCGCTTAAGAGGTGGAGGAAGGGAGGTGAAAGGATTAGCCAAACCGCTTACTCGTATTGCGTGACCCTTGGACGAGGACAACAGTGTGGTGATAACCTGGAGGGGGCCGCCGGGTGGAGGGGGCAAAGGGGTAAACAGAGGGGACAACTGTAACAGTCTAAACAATAAAACATACAGGGAAAAGAGATAGAACTTATTGCATAAACAGTAAACACTGAGAACGTCACTATTTTTCCTCCTTCACATTAAACCACTGAAGTCACACAAACTGGGTAAAAGTCCAAAATGTCGATTCCAGTCATTATTTTGAAGTTATTCAACTTGGGGAGGGAGGTGGGGAGGCCTAGGGGGGCTGGGGGTGGGAGTAAAAAGGCAGAAAACTGTACTTGAGCAACAATTAAAATTTTAAAAAAATTATTCAACTTCAGCCCTGACTGGTGTAGCTCAGTGGGCTGAGCCGGGCCTGAGAACTAAAGGGTCATCAGTTCGACTCCCACTCAGGGCACATGCCTGAGCTGCAGGCCACATCCCCAGTAAGGGGCATGAGAGGCAACCACACACTTACGTTTCTTTCTCCTTCCCTTCCCCTCTAAAAATGAATAAAATCTTAAAAAAAAAAAAAAAAAGATTATTCAACTTCACTTTCTAGACCCTAAGCTTTCTAACTGGAAAATTTAACACAAACCTTTAGCAAACATGTTTACATAATTTCTGAAAACTTTATGTAACATTGATAGTAAAATGACAAGGCAGGCCCCGGCTGGTGTAGCTCAGTGGATTGAGCTCAGGCCTGTGAAGCAAAGGATCGCGGTTCAATTCCCAATCAGGGCACATGCCTGGGTTGCAGGCCAGTTCCCAGTGGGGGACACATGAGAGGCAACCACACATTGATGTTTCTCTCCTTCCCTTCCCCTCTCTCTAAAAATAAATAAATAAAAAAAAATTTTTTTTTAATGACAGGCAGAACTGCCCCTCCCCTCAGAACACCTTAACTTCTTTCCAGCAGTTCAGTTTTATTTTCTGCTGTAGTAAAAAAATTAGGATCCACCTCCGGAACACCTTTTGATTGGGCATTTCTCTCCACAGAATCAACTTCAAATCCCAAGCCATACACAAATCAAGGACATCTCTTTCCCAGGAGCCCCTGCTTCCAAAGTTACACCAGATACCAAAAGCCAGGCTAACATGCTTTACACTCTAAGAAAAACTTGACTCGTGTAGCCTGTAAATACTCTTATTCTCCCCACAGAGACGCCCAATACTTCCAATGGGCCTGTGGTCACACGGCACACTGACCTCGGTTTAGTGAAAGGGGTTTAGAGGTGACCTACTTCAAAGGGGTCACACTTCGTAAGTTAGGAATTCAAGTCCCAAAGGACAAGCCAACAGAATACAGCCGGTCAGCATCTTGTTGCTGAAAGTCAGGTCTTAATAACGCTCAGTTTAGCCACTTGACATGTTGACCTGGAACCCTCTCCCTAGAACCAGCTGTCCCGTGTCACTCAAGGGGCCCCCCTCCCCTCCTCCACCCCGTCCCCTTCTAACCTTATGGGTCCTTCCTTCCCCAAAGTGCTCCTCTGCCCACCCACCATGGAGAAGCACCTTGCAGGTACGAGAGGACTTGCGTCCAAGATATTCTGGCTAACAATTACTTTGACTGTCAACTCGTCTTCTTATGCCTGAATTTCATTACCACAGATGTCAAAGTTAATCATCGTTTTGGCACTTCGAACTCAGTCTACGAGTCTAAACCTGCTGTCCGTACAACTGTGGGCAGAGAGGAGCCCATTGTCTTTGGGCCTTCACTAGTTCACCTTGAATGACTCTTCACACCACCAAGCAACAGGATTTACAGTAACAAGGGAGAAAAGCGCTCAGTCAGGCAGAACACGGTCTCAAAAAGATGACACAGGACACACTATTTCAAAATTTGTACATCGTTTACTTTAAGCGACAGTCCAGGATTGTGGAGGACAACACATGTTCTGAGGATGAGACTTTTCATTTCACAGTCAAGCACCAGCGTCATGCACACAGCTTCGAGTCACCTACGAGCACTGCTGCCCCAGCAGGTCCGGTGGGGACGAAGACCCCTGCCCCCGCCCCGCCTGGTCACCGCCTGCGCTGGCTGCACCGCCTGGAATTGGTCGGCTCCTCCGAGCGAGAGCAGGAGGCTCCACTCCTTGGCCGGTCACGTTACTATCTGGCTTACTTCTTAAGGTTCGGAAAGAAAAGGCAGTTTCTTTGCTTTGCAGGCACCACGGCACGCGGTGCAGGCCTCTCTGTGGTTCCACATGGCACAGGAAGATGCTTTTAGCAAAGGGCACTGGCGGGCAGGGCAACACCGAGAAGGTGTGGCGTGAAGACAGCCCCGTGTCTGGGGCCTGAAGGGACGGCGCCCGCGGCCTGTTTACTGGCCTGTCCGCGAGGCTTGGCAAACCCAGGGAAAGCTGACAAGAAAAGGGGTTTAAAAACCTCAGTACAAAAGATCCTCTGACAGATTTGGAACCAAACGACTCATTCTTAGAAACACAATCCTGGGGGGTCACGAAGCTTCCCTCCAAACTACTACTAGAAACACCACGCCATGGCCTACAGACCCAGAGGAGTTAGGACAGATCAAGAGGACCTGTTCTTCAAAAGGAAAACAAACAAACAAAAAAAAAGACAGCGGTACATAAAGTGCTTCTTTTTTAATGAAACAAATCTGAAAGACGTACAGTCAGGCTCGAGTTGTGCAGTTCACAAGCATGGAGGAAACAAACAGAACGACGGCGTCTCGGCGGTCAGAGCTAACCCAGGACCAGGCTGGACTTGCCCCCGGGGGGGTTCCTTCGGGACGGCACCGGGGCCGGCGCCACGGGGCTGGGCACAGGGGCGGCGGGCACGGGCTTCTCCTCGCTCTGCCCCAGGCTGGCCTGCAAGTCTGTGTCCACGTTTTCTAGGAAAATAGAGTGACATTAAGGCTACTAACGGTTTCTGGTGAGGATGAAGAATCTAAGATACCTTTTTTGGAGGAAGGTTCTAAACATACCTGGATATGTCAAGAAGACAGGCACAATCACCAGCCATGTTCCCACCACCCAGAATTAACCACTGCTCATGTCTCGGCCCTTTTTCCGCACGTGTTCTTTCTCAATTACACACACATGAAGGCATGGATACTTTACATTAGCTAAGCCTTACAGACGAGCTCTAGATCCCTTGCCCCTGATCCACGACCACGTGGGTCTCCCCGCCCTGTTCCGAGGCCCCACGGCCAGCTGTCTGCACCCTTCCAGCCCGTCTGTTTCGTGCGTATCCTGTGTGTATTATATGTCTAACGGGTGACATAATACCGTTTGTGTTGTGTTTAACATAAACAGTATCAGCTTGCTTTTTTTCATTCTTTGGCAAATTTACCCATATTTATACACATGGTCATAATTCACCTTGCTTAATTAAGCTGTTTCATAGTATATGTGTGCATATACAGTATATGTCTGGGCAATCTTCTAGTCCACGGGACGTATGCCCCATCTTCAACCTGGGCAGACACGACTCACTGCCCTGCCCCCAGGTGGCCGTGCCGCGCTCCGCCCCACAGCCCACGTTGAAGAAGCCCCTCACTTTAGTATCTGCCAAACCGACAAGTGAAAAATGCTACTGTGTTCCCGTTTTCCGTCACGTGTCCACGGTCACTCGGCGAGGCTGACTTGAACTGCGCACACTGCCAGTGAGCCATTCACGTGTGTGAAAGAGTCTGCGTGCCCCCACTGACCGGTAACAGCATCTCCATTAACCAGGTCGCTCCTGCCTCTTCTTAAAGAGGCACCTTCGTCATTTAAGTCTTGAGAAATTGTGTATCATTATCCAATATCCTGGGTACTGCTTGACTACTTCACTGGCTGATTTGTGAAACTCCCAATAAGCCTATATTCCTAACCAGGTAGTTTCCAAAATCAGAGAATTCTTGTACTCAAAGTCAAGAGTAATTGCAAAAGAAAAAACTCAGGATTTTCTGTGGAAAAATTTCTATGAAGAGTTCAATAGTTTTAAGGCACATTAGATTTGTTTTTCATTTTTAAAAACTGCCAGGTCTCATGGTGGTGTTAAACCACATTCGGTTGCATGTCCAACACTTGCCTTGGGATAACACACACACACCCCCGACACGTTTAGTAGAAGACTCAGGAAAAGACGAGAGGAGCGCAAGGGTTGACGCTGACCCCGCCCCTGTCTGGGAGTTCCGAAACCCTGTAAGAGGTGGAGCCGAACTATCGGCTACGATGCGTCCAGGGTCAGAGTCTGTATGGACTCCCACTGGATACCAGTGCAAAGTTCCAACTTGGAAAAATGCAGTTTCTCTAAGTTCCTCAAAAACTAAACGTTAAAAGTTAGTGTTCCTGAAACCACTCGTACCAAGTTCTGACCTAGCCGACAGAAACCGCGTGTCCACGGGGGAAGCGATTCTAGATCAGAACGTGACAAACATCCCAGAAACGCGCTGCCGCTGCTTTCAACACCGCGTTCTGCGAGTTTGGGGAACAGCCTACAGACGTAACACAATATGACATACGCGTGTTCCACAGTGTTCAACTGGCAGCAAACACCCAGGAGGGTGCCTTCCGAGAGGACACCCCTCGAGGCCGCAGCCTGAAGCTCAGAGGGAGGGTCGCCTTCAGGTTCCCATCGCCACACTCCTGTTTCACAAGAGAGGGTCACGTGCACCCACACCGAGTGCCCCGGCCCTACAGCGAGCGCCTGTCACATAACCTGGGAAGATGTGTCCGACCTACTTCACATACAAACAGCGCCCCCCTCCCCTCAAAACAGCACATTCTAAAGCAATCCGAAACAGAGCAGCACAGACCAGGAACTCGGGCCGAGCCAGCAGGCTCACCATGAGCCGTCTTTCTGCTGCGGGGCCATGACCCCGCCACTGTCCGTCTGGACCAAGCAGTTAATGCTCTGAAAGTTAATTTCCTGAAAGTGATTGTTAGGGAAATCAAGCTCATTTCCAACAATCGACTTGTCTTTTATTATTAATGGAACTGTTCTGTCTTTCACAAGGAGGTAATGCACCACAAAAGAACAACAAAATGCATGTATGGAGACTAAAAAAAC